GCTTTTACAACACAGGGCGGTGGTGAATGAGGATGCTGGTGTCCTAACCTTCCTAGGGAGAAACTGTCATCCTAGACTTGAGATTGGGGGTGGCAGGGGGCCGTGTCTTCTTCACTGTACCCATCCAGAGTAGAACTGTCACTCTGGGCTGGAGGGTAGGGAAAGAGCAGCTTATAGCTCACATGCTGGAGCTTCATTGTTCTTATCAAGATTTAATTGTTTTTTCGAATAAAGATCTCTTGTCCATTTGCTGTTTGCTCTTAAGACATTTTATACAAACTTGAAATGGTTTTTTTCGAGAAAAAATATTTGTTACCAGTTATGGTTGATTTTCTGGGAAGGGGATCTGAGGAGCTTCACATAGCTCCAGTCTAGCCCTAACTTTCTGAAAATAACAAACTCCATTCCTTCAAGGATTTTTATTTTTTACCTTCTAGACTTCACTGATTCACACAGCTCTTTTATCCTTCTTAGTCTAAACTAGGAAATCTTTTACCATAAACTCAACCAACTTTAGGTAAAAGAACAAGCGGATTAATGTATAAATGAATGTATAATGGAATTATTTTAATTAACTTTGGCACCATGACTTTTTTGATATAGATGATGGAGAAATGTGTTTCTAACCTACCAAAAGCTTACTTTGTTGGGCACTTTGAATTGGTCTTTGAGAATTTGCCGATATTATCAGAGAGGGAAGGGTCTTTGTTCCTCTGGTGCAGGCCTTGCTCAATGATTGCTAGGAAGTAACCATGAGTCTTCCTCCTGTTCCCTGTTTATCACCAACATACCCAAAATGTTGCCACCTATCTTTATAACACACCAGCATTTGCAGTGAGAGGTGTTTAATTCCAGTATCTAGTGTCCACAGTCTCCAGCTGCTGTTTTGTAGCAGGGTAAGTTCTTTCATAAAATCTGTTACCAGGAATCATGAAACATCAGGAAGGTTAGTGTTAGACAAGGGTTGGCCCACCATTTGTTTTAGTATGACCTGTGAGCTCACAATGGCTTTTACATTTTTTGATGATTGAGAAAAAAATCAGAAGATGAAGAATATTTTGTTATTGTTGTTTAGTCACTAACTTGTGTCCAACTGTTTGCAACCTTGTGGACTGTAGCCTGCCAGGCTGCTCTGTCCATGGGATTTTCCAGGAAAGAATACTGGAATGCATTGCCTTTTCCTTCTCCAGGTAGTCCTCCCAACCCAGGGATTGAACCAGTGTCTCCTGCATTGGCAGGCAGATTCTTTACCACTGAGCCACTGGGGAAGCCCAAAGAATATTCTAGGACATGTGAAAATATGAAATTCAGAGTTTTTCCCATAAATAGGTTCACTGGGCACAGCCATGCTCATGTGTTTGTCTTGTCTGTGGCTGGTTTCATGCTTTAACAGCAGAGTTGAGTACTTGGAGAGTAGAGATTATATGGCCCACAAGACCAAAAATATTTTTACAGAAAAAGTGTGCTGATGCAGTCTCAAGTATGATTGAGTGGAGCAGCACTAGTCATTTTTGCTTAACAAAATGTTTTAGGGCCTACAGACAGCTCAGCAGGGATATAGATGCCCTGGGAGGTACAAAAGAGGGAGAGGATTTCAAGACAGTTATTTGATTTTGAATTTAGATAGAAAGAAGAATACCACCTGTCCTTGCGTAAGCAAATCTTACTCAAAAGGAAAACTAAAAGGTCTGTCACATATGTGTTTGAAACCAGTTCCCCAGTGTGGAGTTTTCCCAAGACTTCTGTTTGATCTGAAATTGTGGCATTCTGACCATTGTCTCTGGGGTGAGTGAATTCCTTTGTAATTTAGAAGGAGCTGTATTGCTCGTTTGACTTCTCATCTTGATGAAAGTGTGCTTCCCAAGGTTGTGCATTTTGCCACATTATCCCGTCACTTCATGGCAAATAGATGGGGAAACAGTGACAGACAATATTTTTTGGGACTCCAAAATCACTGCAGATGGTGACTGCAATCATGAAATTAAAAAACACTTAACTCCTTGTAAGAAAAGCTATGACCAACCTAGACAGCATATTAAAAAGCAGAGACATTACTTGGCCAACAAAGGTTCATCTAGTCAAGGCTATGGTTTTTCCAGTAGTCATGTATGGATGTGAGAGTTGGACTATAAAGAAAGCTGAGCGCCCAAGAATTGATGCTTTTGAACTGTGGTGTTGGAGAAGACTCCTGAGAGTCCCTTGGACAGCAAGGAGATCCAACCAGCCACCTGATGCAAAGAACTGACTCATTTGAAAAGACCCTGATGCTGGGAAAGAGTGAAGGCGGGAGGAGAAGGGGACGAAAGAGCATGAGATGGTTGGATGGCATCACCAGCTCAATGGACATGAGTTTGAGTAAACTTCAGGAGTTGGTGATGGACAGGGAGGCCTGGTGTGCTGCAGTCCATGGGGTCTCAGAGTCAGACGTGACTGAGCAATTGAGCTGATGCCAAATTTCCTAGAAAACTCCCTTAGTTTAACAGATTGAGGGGAAAAAATCATATGTATTATTGCTGGCATCAAATTCTTTAAAACTTAGTGAAGAGATAGGAATTAATAGGTCAGAAATTTTAACATAGTGGCTTTTTGTAACAGTACAGATCAAAAATAGCCTGTGATAGTAGAATGTTGTTTAAGAGCATATTGTAGTCCTCCAAATATGCTAAAAACAGCATGGACTTGAAAAAGTGAAAAGTGAAAGTCTCTCAGTTGTGTCCAACTCTTTGCAACCCCATGGACTGTATAGTCCATGGAATTCTCCAGGCCAGAATACTGGAGTGGGTAGCCTTTCCCTTCTCCAGGGGACCTACACAACCCAGGAATCAAACCTAGCTCTCCCTCATTGCAGGCGGATTCTTTACCAGCTGAGCCACAAGGGAAGCCCAAGAATACTGGAGTGGGCAGCCTATCCCTTCTCCAGGGGATCTTCCCGACCCAGGAATCAAACTGGGGTCTTCTGCATTGCAGGCAGATTCTTTACCAACTGAGCTATCAGGGAGCCCAAGAATGGGCTGAATGCTATTTAAAGGTAGTGTTTCTTTCTGTATTTCATGTTCAGTGTTCCCATTTAATTTAGTTTGTTTTCCAATTTCTGTGTCTCTTTTCTGTTCTTCTTTCTCAAACCTTTATCAAACATAGTAGAAAAATTTTTGTATACATATGTGTATGTATATGTGTGTGTGTATACATAGTATGTATGATATATATATTTTAGAAATGTTATGAATTTTTGCCTAGCTAAAAAATTTATGACATTTTAATTCCACTTTTTTGACTTAGTATAAATAGAATGCTAGGTTTCTAATTAATATTCACTCAAAACTTTGATATAGTTCCATGTATTTTGGCATCTGATATTACTGCTAAAAGACTAGAAAGTTCATTATCTTAGTGATCTTTTTCACAAAAATTTGAAGCTCAAAGCTTCTAGTCCAGTTCTGAGAATATCAAGAAATACTATGTTGTTAAAAACAAACAAACAAACGAACAGAAAATGTGATAACAGTATTATTAACTAAAGTACAGATTTTGTACAGATTTCACAAGTTTTTATGCTAGTGTTTGTTATTTTCATACCTTATTCAAGATTCTGCTTTGTATTTACTTGCATTGAGCAGTTTCAGCTGCACGCAACAAATTCTGGTAAATTCTCTTTTCATTTTTATTCTGTTACAAATATTTTCTAATTTTCCTTGTTAGGGCTTCTTAGATACAACCATCATTTAAAACTGGACATTTAATTTCCAAATACATGGGTTTTTTAAAGTATCTTTGACATTAATTTTTCATTTTAATATTTCTCATTTAAACACTTTCTTCTCTGTAATCACCCTCTGTGTTTTTTCAGTCTTCTAAGTTTACTGAGGCTTTCAATGGCTAAGTCAAAGATCTCTCTTGGTAAATGTCACATTGGACTTGAAAATATGTGGGTTATTTTCAGATATCTTTTGATACTGATTTCTAACATAATTCCACAGTGATAAGAGAACCGACTCTGTATAATTTCAGTACCTTTTGACCATGAAATTTTTGCACCTGTTTTATGTCCCTGGATATGTTCCAGTGTCTCCTAGTTTATATATAATCTATGGGAACTTGAATAGAATTTGTATCCTACTGTGTGTGAAAATTGTATTAATCTTAATTATGTTGAATTGGTTCATGGTGCTTTCCTTCTACTTTTCTGTATATTCATTCTATTAATACTTGATAGTTTGATAAGGAAACTCCAACTAAAAATTTATCTATTTAAAATAATTGTAATATATAGTAGAACTATATGTAAGTTTGTTGTATATTTTTCAAGTCTCCTGTAAATGTGTTATCATACTTTCATAATTTAAAAACTGAAAGAGTAAAAAAAATAAAGGTAGTGTTTATGCTTTAAAAAATGGTTACAATTTGATTATTAATCAGGATTATTCCATAGAAAAAGCATAGTTTTACTTGAGTATTATTTGACAATATAAAAATTTGTAAGCAAATTTTTTCCCAAAGCATCTCTGGGACTAATCATATCTATTAATATCTGCTTCCTGCAAAACAGTTTCTACTCAACAAAGTTTATAAATAAATCACCTGTGGTTAAATTATCAAATAATAAGGCTTTTCCAGCCATGCCAAAAGAAAGAAATTAAACCTTCACATTTTGCTTCTTGGTTATCATTGGGCTGAAGTTCCCTCTGATTTGGAGGATATGTAATGAAATATAATTTCTGAGAATTAAAAACCCAAAATCTCTGCTAGTGAAATTCAGAGATGTATAGTGCTCAGTTCAGCATTGAAAATCAAATTTTTGTTGTATTCCCATGTGTTAGAGCTTGTGAAATGGAGTGGTTTCCTGTTTGCGTCTGATAGATTCATAGTCATATTGTGCAAGTAGTTGTTCATCGTCAGGTATTTTTCTCCTTTCCTGTCCCACCAAGGTTCCACCTGCCCAAATCCATAGCTGTGCTTCTGCATTGCTTATTTTGTGAAACATTTTTGTTTCTTTTTTTCAGGCATCCAGTGGAAATTATTATTTCATCCCATACATCGTGACACCATGCGCTGATTATTTTTGCTGTGAGAGTGATGCCCAGCGGCGTGCCTCAGAGTACATGCAGCCCAACTGGGACACCCTCCTGGGTCCACTGTGTGTGCCTCTGGTGGACAGGTTTACTAGCCTCCTCAAGGACATCCATGTGACCTCATGGTAATTCCCATCAACTGTCCTCAATCTTGGGAGCTTGGCCAAAATTTTCCCTTCATGTCCATGGAGGTGATGTACCTTCAAGAGACCATAGTGCCCAGAAAGTGAGGAATTCCAACCAGTCATTTTAAAGTCATCCTGGAATCCAGGGTTCCACAGTGGCTCACTGCATTGGGCTGTTGAGGTGTAGCTGAAAGAGAATGAAACTGGAGTTGAGGTTTGTGTTTGGTTCCAGCTCCTTATGCAACCTTGACAAGTAACTTTTCTGTAGCTGTTTTCTCATCTAGAAAATAAGGAGCTTAAATCATTGATTTTCTTTAATGCTCTTTCAACTCTGCCATTCTGTGTTCTAAGATGATTTCTGAAGGTGAGTTCCTGCCCACCGCCAACCAGCTGTTGCAGTTGTTAAAATGTGTCAGCGAGGTTATTCCAGACCTTAGCCCCTATGCTGTACCGTCAGGGTATATTGAGTCAAGCTGAAGCCATCCTGACCACAGTGTGCCCTGGAACGTGTTCTTGGTAGATTTATGTCGGAGAAGGTGTGGAGCAGTGATTCAAGAGCTGACAGGCTTGGGTTTGAATCCTGGCTCAGGCGGTCCTTCACTGTGTAGCCTTGGAACCTACACGTTTTGGAGCCTCAGTGCTCAAGAAACCAGTCCTTGAAATATCCCTGTTTTGAAACTTGAAGGCAGAAAAATTATTCCACTTAAAGAAAGAATTCAGATTTTCTTTGCCGGTAGCCAACTTAAAGGATTTACTCCTGAAAGTTAAGTCACAAGGAGAAGGATTTGTCTTTCCAAAACAAATGAAAATCCAAAGCGCTGGCAGAGCTAACTTGAAGTATAAGGGCCACACGTCCCTCTGGCTTGTGCTGTGGCCCCCCAGACTGTGGAGCATTACTACTGTGGGGCTGGTGGGAGGTGCATGCTTGTTCAGTCTGTTCTCCTTTTCTATCCTGTCACCTCTTCTCTGGACACAGTTTCTGCTACAGGTTGTAATGGGAAAAGAAGACTGGGAACTCGGGCATATGTGACCACATGCCAATCTAAAAGTAAATGGGGCACCTTTTACAATACATCCCTCAAAAACCTCATTCGGCCCCAGCTTGCTAACTATTGTCTTAACTGCACAGTGAATATTCTAGTGAGGTTCAGGGAGAAAAGTCTCCCAGGATCATTTTTTTCAGGTCTGACAAGGAAGTAGGCTAGCTTGAGTCTGCCAGATGAGCAAGGTGTCTGCAAGAAGTGGCCTCAGGTTTGTTTCTCATTCACTTTATGTATGTTTCAGTAGGAAGACAAGTCTTTTGATTTGGTTTAATTTCAAAGAACTTGAAATACCTGTTGGTTGATTCCACCCCTTGAACTCTCAGATACCTGGCAAGGGTTAGTGAGAGGGTAAATGATGCTAATGGTTGAAAACATCTGTAAGAGGGATGGCAGACAAATTTTCAGCTCAAGTGCCAACTTGCATAGATTGATGAAGGCCACCCAGAGCCCTGTGCAGAAAAGGGGTTTGAAGCCATTTCCAAGTTCACACTGATTAGCGGTATCTTTCCTGGTTACCAGAGGCAGAAATGGCTGCATGTTTGTTACATACATGGTGTCTCCAAGCCATACTTAATTCATTGTTTTATTTATTTACTTGCAGGTTACTGTTCTTATTAGGTTTCTTAGTTTATTGAAAATAGTTTTCAGAGCTCCCCTTGAAAACAAGACTTAAGTGTACATTTTTACTTGACAGGCGAAACTAGTAACACTTTAATAGCTTTTGATGCCTTTATAGTCCAGCAAATGGACAATGGCTATCACTCAACTTAATTATTCACTTGATTAATCATAGAATTTTAAACATTAGTAGAATCTACTAATTTGCTCATCATCAAGGTAATAAGCAAGAGACTAGGAAATAAAAATTAAAGCAATGCACTGATACTTCTATATCAGGGCACACTGATACTTTTATATCAGAGCACTTTCACTTTACTTAAAGTAATTTCACTTAATTACTGAAATGTTGAGATTTATTATAAGCATTGGACCAGGCAGTGTACTATAAACGCTTTTTTGGACAGAGTTTTGTAATAGTTAAAATCAACATTGGTTAATCTTTGGCATTGTTTCTCATTCTGAAAACTATTACTTGTTAAACTTGCTCTTTTTAACAAACAACCTAATTTTATTGTCTACAGTTAAATCATTTCAGCTACGTAATGGGTTGATAGTATTACAACTTGATCATGCCAAGTCTCCATAGAAAAAAAATTACTTGGAAAGTAGACAATGTATTTAAATTCATCTATTTTAAACCAAGTACCGAATACTAGCATTGGTTCTTGGAGACATGATGAGACATTCTAGTGTGAATTTAAACTGCTTAAAATGTTGTAGTACCTCCCTGTTATTATCTGGATGCCCACATAAAGGAAGTTCTATGTCTTCCATTAGGAAAGCATTCTGGCTGTCAAAATGACAGAATAGGGGGTGAAAGGCAGAGGTGGTCTGCAGGCATCCAGGCATGGCTTCTTGTATTGCTCATGGACACATCAAGATTTTGTTTGTCGACCAAGTGTAAAAAGCTTTGTGGTTACTAGCTGGGAATACCTGAAAGATACATCTTAAAGACATTCATCTTACTATGTTTCATGGCTTTGGAGTTTTGTTCGGCTTTGTGAAAAATCTCTTAATGGTGGGGGAAATTACTGTTCAAGTGAAGTACTTTCTTGTCCTCATTGTGTATGAAAATACCGGAGGAGAGGGGATGGGGTGGGGTAGCTAGTGAGTCCTGTGTGTTATCCAAATACATCAGGGGTCAACTTTGAAAATATTTTCAGAGTCATAATGAACTGATTTTCTTTGTAACTGTTGAGTGGTTAGGTTTTTGCAAAGTGACACTCACAAGTAGGACGTGCTCCCCATTGGCTGATCCTGGGAGGCTCAACTCTGGGTGAGGTTCCCGTGTGTTAGCCTAAGTCATGTCCATGAGAGCTAGGTTTGTTTGAGCTGCAGAACAGTCCTGGATGCTTGTAGCCGTGACTGGAGCTTTTCTTGTTTCCCTCTCCAGTGCTTATTACAAAGAAACCTTGTTAAATGACATCCGGAGAGCCAGAGAAAAATACCAGGGTGATGAACTGGCCAAGGAGCTGGCTCGGATCAAACTCCGCATGGATAACACTGAGGTTCTGACCTCAGACATCGTCATTAATTTACTGCTATCCTATCGCGATATCCAGGTATGCCATATGCTTATCTGAAGCTAACACAGTTCTTCCCTGACATGAGGAATTCCTTGTATGAAGTACTCATGCACTAGATGTATGGTTAGGTAGTTGTTTTATAGCCAAAATAGGAATGTGGCTGGGTCATAGGTCACCTCGCACATCTTTTGTGGTAGAAATGTTGCAGAAGGTTTTGTCATATCAGAAGGGTGCTCAAGCAAATTCTTAGATATGGTACTGCTTAGTAAAAGGAGTTCAGAATTTAACAGTTTATATGCAATTTGTGCTAGGCATTGTTCCAAGCCCTTTGCAAGCCCTAATTCACTTAATCCTCTTCAGAAGCCTATGGGGTGCACAGTCCAATTATTCCCATTGTAAAAATGAGGAACATGAGGTACAGAGAAGCTAAATAACTTGCCTGAGGTCACACAGCGGTTGGCAAAAGTCAAGATTCCAACTGAGGCAACCAGCCCTGTTGTCCTTGCTCTTAATGCCTCTCCTCTTCTACTCCCTTTAGGCCTTTGTCACTCCCTTCTTGGTTTAGCACTACCTGTTAGTGAAAGGGAGAGCAGGAGTAACACAGGCATGTCCAGGAACCCGGGGCTGCAGGGCTTTATTCTCAGACGACGGACAGAGACTTCTGGAAAGTCCTGAAGATGGGGTTTGTAGAATATGGCACCATGGAGGAAAGCAATCACTTCCCCCCTCCAGGTTTAATGCTGTGGAGCCATTTCCAAGATGTCTTGTCTTCCTTCCCTTTGGAGGAACACAGAGTGCTGTATATAACCTGTAGAATTCTATCAGTACAAAGCCATGTTGGAGGTTGTTGGCCACAGGTCTTTAGACGAAAGAGGCTTCCATTTATGACCTGAGCCAAGAACAAGAGTCAACCACTTAAGGAACTCATGCCCCTGGTGACAAACAGATGCATCTAATTGATTTTAATAGCAGATGCTATTAGAAATTATGCTGAGTGATGCCCCATGGAACAAGAGAATGGGAAGGACCTTGTTTGAGGTCTTTCTTCCATTGAGCGGCTGGCTTCCTTCTGCCCTTGCTTTCACTCATCTCTCCTCTTTATAACCTTACCTTGGTGGGACTCTCAGGCTCAAAGATGAGCCAGAAGCTTCTTGCTGTACTGTTTTCCCTTTCCTTGGGCAGCAGCATCCAAGTGTAATGCCACAAAACAGGTGTGAGATTTCGGTGGGAAGTCCTCGTCTGCTAACTGTGGCCAGCTGTCAGCAAGTTGGCCAGTAACAGTGATTCTGAGCCGGCTGAAAGGGTAGCAGATGGCACTGCTCACAGGGGATACAGCCGAGACGAACACGGTAGCAGTTTTTCCCTGGGTAATTATGCAGTTTAGAGCTGTGGTTCTCCAGGCAGGGACATGTGGTAGTGTCTGGAGGTATTTTGGGTTGTCACAACCGGGGGCAGGGGACGGAGTGCTCCTGGCACCGAGTGGGTCAAGGTCACAGTACAGCCCCCACCGTAAAGAATGATCCAGCCCCCAAATGTCGCTAGTGCCAAGGTTGAGAAACTGATTTAAATGAATTGGATTGTTTCTGACAAAATAGGAAGCCTTGGAATATTTCCTCCCTTTATGTGGCAAATGACTGTAAGATTCCCTATATATTTACGTCCAGTTCATTTTAACCCACAGCCCTGCCAGTGGTGATAACTCTTCTACACTCAAAATGTGGTAGCTTTTCCTAGCTGCTTGGCTTATTTGTTTTCTTTTATTGTCTCTGAATCTAACTTCATTTCCTTGGTCCTTTTGTGACCTCTGAGAGCAGAGATTCTTCCTCTGTCTTCTCTCATCCATCTTGTTGTTGTTTTTAATCTCATTGCTGTTCTTTTAAGGACTTTAACTTCACTAAATACTGCCTGTAGGTAAGGGCCTATATTTAAATGCTGAGGTGGTCTCATGTTGATAACTGTTTAAGAAAACCTGCCAAGAGCTGTGTTTCCTCTCTCACCTTGGGACCTCTTGCCAACAGGACTATGATGCAATGGTGAAGCTGGTAGAAACACTGGAGATGCTGCCTACGTGTGATCTGGCTGACCAGCATAACATTAAATTCCACTATGCGTTTGCACTGAATAGGTAAGAGTGATAATGTATGGATAGAGTTTTGAAGCAGGCCAGCTGTTAAATTTTGCTTCCTTTTTTTCTTCTTTTTTAAATTGTAGTATAATTGCTTTACAATGTTGCTAGTTTCCACTGTACAACTAAGTGTATCAGCTGTATGTATGCGTATATCCCCTGCCTCTTGAGGCTCCCTCCCACCCCTATCCTACCCTTCTAGTCATCACAGAGCACCGGGCTGAGCTCCCTGTCTTACACAGCAGCTTCCCATTAGCTAGTTTACACATGGTAGTGTATATATGTTATTGCTACTCTCTCAGTTTGTCCCACCCTCCCCTTCACCCACTGTATTCACATGTCCATTCTCTATGTCTGTATCTCTGTTTCTGCCCTTCAAATAGATTCATCTGTACCATTTTTCTAGATTCCATAAATATGTATTAATACATGATACTTGTTTTTCTCTTTCTGACTTATTTTACTCTGTATGACAGATTCTAGGTCCATCAACATTACTGCAAATGACCCAATTTCATTCCTTTTTAGGGCCAAGTAATATTTCATCACATATATATATATATATATCTCACATCTTCTTTATCTGTTCCTCTGTTGATGCACATCTAGGTTGCTTCCATATCCTGGCTATTGCAAATAGTGCTGCATTGAACATTGGGGTACATCTGTCTTTTTGAATTATGGTTTTCTAAAGGTATACGACCAGTAGTGGGATTGCTGGGTCATATCATACCTTTACTTTGAGTTTTTTAAGGAACCTCCATACTGTTTTCCATTGTGGCTGTACCAACTTACACTCCCACCAACAGTGTAGGAGGGTCTCCTTTTCTCCACACCCTCTCCAGCATTTATTGTTTGTAGACTTTTTGATGATGGCCATTCTGACCAGTGTGAGGTGATACCTCATTGCAGTTTTGATTTGCATTTCTATAATAATCAGTAATGTTGAGCATATTAAATTCTGTTTCCTTCTTTCATTCAACCCTCGTTGAGTATGAGCCAGATCATGGCTGAACGCCAAAGTTAAGAAAATGGACACGACATGATCTTGACTTTTAGGGACTTTGTCTTCGGAGCATATATTATAGCTGTGAGGTCAGACATCTACCTAAACCCCTGCAGCTCGGAGTGATAAATGTCTTCATGAATACCACAGCATAGTAGAGGGAGGAAGTCATTCTGCTTTGAGGTTTTCAAGAGGCTTTTTGGGAGTCTTTTGGGCTGGGTTTTGAAGACTTGATAAGCATTGCCTCATGGGCGGGAGAGACTGTGGGATAGGGGTGGGGAAGAGACCGCTCCACTTGGCCAGAAGTGTGAGCAGAGTTCTTCAGGTGCAGTGTGCTTTCAGGGAACCTCCAGAATACGAGCTATGGGTGCAGCAAATGTGTGCAGTGAGGCAGACTATGGAGGGTGGGACTGTGTTGTGAAAGGACTGTATATATACAAATGAGGAGCTGAAAGTGTCTCATAGACTGTAGAGGTAGGGGGCTAGTTTAACAACAGGATTAACATTATATGACGGGGAAGGGGGCTACTGTCTTCCTGTACTAGTGTAATCTGAATTACTGGGCTAGGTAGAGTATGTGAGACTTGAAAATTCCTGCCTGGAGACCCTGAGCCTCAAAAGCTTATTGCTAGGGGTGTCAGCTAAGATGCTGTAGTATAGAGACCCCAAATGCAATGATTGAAATTTCTCTTTCACATAGCAGTCTAGAGGTGAGTGGACCAGGTTAGTAGCATAGGAGTTGTTCAAGGACCTAACTTCTGCCCATTTTGTTGCTCTTTCATTCCCAAGAGTGTTGTTCTCTTCTAGTTGAAACTCGGTCACTGCTTTACTCTTTGTTCCGGCCTGATGAAAGGAGTAGTGTGGAAGCCCAGTTAAGCTGTTTCCTTTAAAGCAAGTAGAATTTGCATGGGCCACTTCCACTGACATTCTGTTGGTGAGAGCACAGTCACATGACCCCTATCTAACTATAAGGGAAGCTGGGAAATGGAGTCTTTCATTGAGTGGCCATGTGGAGAATAACTAGGAGTTTGACACATCTAATCTCACAAAATCTGAGTTGCCTAAATGTCTTAGTCCTACAGTTACTCTTCTTCCCTGATAAGATACAGGAAGAGAGGTGGCATTAGGTGAACACAGTGAGAGCTACATATAAATCCACTTGCTGCTGGGGCTGGGAATCACTCATGTTTGAATCACACCGCCAAAAACTTGAGGATATTCAAATGTGGCTTGAGAACTAGAGTTCTGGCACCTTCTTATCAACCCTCCATGGCAAAAATCTTCCTTAGGGAATGAGTACAGTGAGGGTTGATGGGGACCAAGTTAGAGGACACTTGCATCTGATTTCTCAGAGGCTTGACTTTGCTTCAGCAGCTGGATTAAGCTGTAGATGGTGGACTTGCCACTGGCAGCATCTGCATGGCAGCAACCACACAATCCATGGCTTCAGGATTCTTGTAATGCATATGAAGCAACATCTGTCTTTTCTATTGAAGTATATAAAGCACACAGGCAGTGAAGTATGTAGATCTTTATACAACTTGAGTTTTAATAAATAGATATACACATGTAAACAACACCCCTATCAAAATACGAAATATTTCCACCCCCGCCCCAGAAGTTCCCTTGTTCCCCTTTGCAGGTAGTCCCCACACCTGTACAGGCAGCCACTCTTCACATATTGCAACCTCTGTCCCCAGAGATGAGTTTTTTCTGTCCTTGAACTTTGTATAAATGGAATCACACAGTATGGGCTTCCCAGGTGGCTCAGTCGTTAAGAATCCACCTGCCAATGCAGGAGATACAGGTCAGGAGGATCCTTTGGAGAAGGAAATGGCAATCTACTCCAGTATTCTCGCCTGGAGAATTCCATGGATAGAGGAACCTGACGGGCTACAGTCCATGGGGTCACAAAGAGTCAGACATGACTAAGTGATTAAACAGCAGTCACATAGTACATACTCTTTGGTGTCTGGCTTCCTACACTCAGTGTCGTGTTGCTGAGATTCGTCCATACTGTTTACTGTGTCGGTAGTTCATTCCTTCTTGCTGTGGAGTACTTTGTTGTGTGGATATGCCACAAGTGATTTACCCATTTTACAGATGGTAGGCTTCTAGGTCGTTTCCAATTTGGGGATACTGAGAACGGTGCTGCTATTAGCATTTATGTGCATGGCTTTTGCACACCTCTGGGCACATTTCTGTTGGGTACATAACACATGCTTGTAGATGTGCTACTGTGCTAGACACCTGCAAGCAGTGGTAAAGTGAAAGTTGCTTAGTCGTGTCCAGCTCTTTGCAATTCCATGGACTGTAGCCTGCCAGGCTCCTCTGTCCATGGAATTCTCCAGGCAAGAATACTGGAGTTAGTAGCCATTCCCTTCTCCAGGGGATCTTCCCAACCCTGGGATTGAACCCAGGCCTCCCACATTGCAGGCAGATTCTTTACCGTCTGAGCCACCAGGCAACCAGCAAGCAGTGGTAGTCAGGATTTGTACTCTCTTTGGTGGAGGAGCTCCATGGTCTCTATGAAAATATGCCTTTTCTCTCCCCAGAAGTCTTTAAACTCAGCATCCCAAGGTGGGGAACATGGGGATGGGCATCTTCCTTAAGCATGAAAAGAAAGTTCTGTAACTCTGTCCCCCCAGAGTAGTGGGGGGATATATATAATTTATACATAATTATACATTAAGTATATATAATTTATTATTATAATTTATTCTTAAATCATACTTAAATATAATTTATATATTATCTTTTTTTTATAATTGCCATATCAATTTTTATTTTTTTTATTTATTTTTTTTCCATTTATTTTTATTAGTTGGAGGCTAATTACTTTACATCATTACAGTGTATATGGAATTTAGAAAGATGGTAATGATAACCCTATATGCAAAACAGAAAAAGAGACTCAGATGTATAGAACAGACTTGTGGACTCTGGGAGAAGGCGAGGGTGGGATGTTTCAAGAGAACAGCATCAAAACATGTATATTATCTAGGGTGAAACAGATCACCAGCCCAGGTTGGGTGCATGAGACAAGTGCTCGGGCCTGGTGCACTGGGAAGACCCAGAGGGATCGGGTGGAGAGGGAGGTGGGAGGGGGGACCGGGATGGGGAATACATGTAAATCCATGGCTAATTCATTTCAATGTATGACAAAAACTACTGTAATGATATAATTTATATATTATCTTAAATGTAATTTATTCTTTTTTGTTTGTTTTGTTTTTATAATTTAAAAGAATTTATTTTCACCAAAACAAGGAGTGCCCTTATAAACAAATGAGCACGTTATGTTCAAGCTTACATAGGTATGACCATTTTAACAGTACAGTCTTGTCACCAGGGTATGAGATAACTGACCTGACTGCATTAGCTGCACTCAGGCTAAACTGTCAACAGAATCCAGTAAAATAATCTGGATAATGCAGACCACATAAAAACAAACAAACAAGAAAGCATGTGGAAGCAGAGCTCTCTCTTGCCTGTGTAACTCTGACACAATCAGACAGCAGACACGGGGTTTGTGTCTCAGTGTGACGCTTACCGCCCTCTCCCGGCCTGAGGTCCAGGGCGGGCAGGGACTCCGCGCGCAGGAAGTAGAGGGTGGGGCTCACTGTGAAGAGCACGTAGTTGTCGTGGCGCTCGTCCAAGATGGTGAGCACCAGGTCACCCACATGGAAATCTCTAATGGCTATCTTCTCAGAATGCTTTGAGGATACGGAAGACATGCTCTGAGACATCAGTCTCGGATTTAACCGCTTGTGTTCTTCTTCTTTCAACTGTAGTGTTCGTTCCAACAGCATTATCTGCTGTCTTTCTCCAGAGAGCACGTGGACGTTTTCTTGGACAGACATCCTGCTGGTCTGCATGGCTGAGTCTGGCCTCCCCTCACCAAGGGTGTCCAGGGCCTCCACCGGCGGCTCAGGCGCACAGGCCCCGTACAACTCTGGGGCTGCGGCCACGCCCGGGGAGGGCACGGAGGCGC